TATGGTGATTAACATAACATAATAAAATTTAAAAAAAAAAATGATTCTAATGGTAAAGATGAAAGAGTTCTTGTACCACTAGTAGAATATTCATTTATTAGGCCTGGAAGGAACCACATCTTATTTCTGCTGTGTATGGTTTATGGTTGTCTCTTCAGCACTCAGACTTGTAAGCTACTCTTCAAATACTTGCTGAATGAAAGCCTAGTGACTGTAAGTATCCTGAGACCCAAATGGGGGTCAGAAGTCCCTAAGGGAATTATATCTTTAGGCTTGGAATGGAGATACTGGGATTACCTCATAGCATCATGAATTTCTCTCTCTACCAGTTCTTTCATCACTCACTAAAAATTTTCATAAATATCCACTCATCACTAAAATAATGTTTCTTTGAACTTGGTGCGCAAATTCTGAAACGCTTCTTAGTTTTCGACTGCTATTTTTTGACACATGGTACATACAAGTGGTCTATAAATGTTACCATTCTTCCCTAACTTCTTTAGCCCCTACAGTCTGGCTGCTTCTCACTCCTCCCCCTATGCCAAAGTCAGGGGTCCTTCTTATGTTCCAGTTCATTAAACTCTCTGCAAATTATTGAATAATCCAGTCCTCCTGAAACTTTCCCAATATGAGAAGTCAAAACATAGCATACTTATTTTTTCTTACGGTTTAAACCTGATAGTTATTTCTATAGAACCAAAGTATCATTCATATGCTTAAAATATTATGTACTAATATCCTAAATGTTCAAAGGTAGGGAAAAATTTTTTTTCCAATTATGGTATATTTATTGAAGTTCTCAAATTGTGATTTTCATTTTCTTCTAATTATTTATAGCCTCTAAACACCCTATGATGAACATACATTCCTATTGTAATAAGAATTAAAAATACGTCATACACACACAAAATATCCCAACATTTTAACGAGGGTTTTCTTTGGATAGTAGGATATTTTGGTTGATATAAACTCTACACAAACTCCATTTTTTCCCAATATTTTCTAGAAGAAGTACATGACACTTACCTAATTGGAAAAATAATTAACATTCCATCAGGAACCGTTTCTAATATTATATCAGAGAATTAACAAAATGCCAAATTTATATGAACACAATTATTCAACTTCTTAGATTTAGTCTAAAGGATATGTATATCTAACATGTTTGCTAATGACAGATAAAGCAGGTATGGGCTTTCAAACTGAGTGTCCTGCTCTTCTGAATACAGTTTCTCCCATCTCTGGCTTTAGAGGGTTCAATATTCATTTTTTAAATTTAATTAGCACCATTTATAGGACTCAAACATAGACTAAGAATTTGTGGTCTCTCAATGTCACAATAACTTCAGATTTTTTTATGAAATGAATAAAATGATGAAATGTGTATCACATTTAAATTTCCAGGGGGTTAATTTTTCCTTTATTACAGAAATTTTAAAATATTATTTGAAAAGTTTAAGAGTGGAAGTTAGCCAGAACTGTTATTTTGGCCAACAGCAATGTGATCTAGTACAGTCAGAGAATGGTTTATTTCCCAATGCTTTCTTTTCCAAGGGGGGTGTAGGAAAAAGAAATTGGAGACGTGGGTCCTAGTGGTCCCATCCTCCACTAGTTCCTTGTGTGATCTGAGATAACGTCCATAAATGTGGTGCTATTTTACCAAGTTAAAAACTCAGAGTTGGTCCAAATGGCACCTAAATATCTCTGAATCTCAAGATTTGAAATCCTGTTTTTTTTTAATTTATTTTTTTTAAAGATTTTATGTAGTTATTTGACAGAGAGAGAGATAGCGAAGGCAGGAACACAAGCAGGGGGAATAGGAGAGGGACAAGCAGGCTTCCTGCCGAGCAGGGAGCCTGATGTGGGGCTCAATCCCAGGACCCTGAGATCATGACCTGAGCTGAAGGC